GGCGGGATGGGGCGGGGAGAGGTGGAGAGGGGGGGCAGGCGATGCTGCGGGGGAGCACGGCAAAGTGGAAGGGGTGTACCAATGATGAATGCATGAATGAATGAGGGAACAAATCGCCCCGCAGATGAAGGAGAGAACGAGGAACGGACGGAAAGGAACCCTCTCTCTTGGGCGCCTTAAGAATAGAGGTGGGCTACTGGTGCTTAGATCAACGACAGAGGTCTAACTAAGCTCAGGGGTCAGAACGCCTCACACAGTCATGCCCCGAGCTCCCCCCCCAGTGCCAGCCCCGTCCTAAGGGGGCACACATTTGGCAGCCTAGAGGTTGTGTGAGTGTACGATATGCATGCGTGTGTTTGGGAAGTACAGCCAACGAATAAATCCTTGTTTTAATTTCAAAATAGCAGGTCCTCCTATAAAGAAAAAAAAAAACAAAAAACAAAAAAACAACACAGCATCCTTGGGTCAGAGGTACCACAAGCAGCTTACAGCCACTTCCAGGGGATTCTTTTGTTTCCCTAGTTGCCAGAAATCTAAAACTATATTACAGCCCTGCTTTCTGCTAAGCCATTGGCACATAAGTTACTACTTACTTGAAGAGTCTGATTTCTTTTTTTTTGTTGTTGTCTTTTGAGACTGGGTCTCACTTATGTAGTGAGACTGACCTGGAACTCACTGTGTAGCCCAGGTTGGTCTCCAACTCACAGCGATCCTCCTGCCTCAGCCTCCCAAGCGCTGGGATTACAGGCATGAGCTACCACTCCCAGCCTTTTGTTTGTTTGTTTGTTTGTTTGCTTTTTGGTACCGGGGATTGAACTGGGGTCCTTGTGTTTGCAAGGCAGGTGGCAGAACCACTGAGCTAAATCCCCAGCCCAAAATTGTGCAGAACTTATCACTTTAACAGCTTTTTTTTTTTTTTTTGAGACAGAGTCTCACTATGTAGTTGAGACTGAACTGGAACTCACTATGTAGCCCAGGCTGGTCTCAAACTCACAGCAATCCTCCTGCCTCAGCCTCCCTAGTGCTGGGATTACAGGCATGCACCACCACGCCTGGATACTTTTTTTTTTTTGGTTTTTAAGAGTCTGATTTCTTTAGGAAGCCAGTAATAATCAAGGCTCAGTGCCAAACACCTAAGGAGGCTGGGGAGAACTTCGAAGAATGTCCCTTGGAATGTCATTCCGGAGTGGTGATCGGGCTTGTGGAGCCAGCTGCAGTGAGGTCAGAGCAACCGCAGAGGAAAGTACAAAGGCTCGGGGGTCAGGAAGAACCTTGGCATATTCCAGGATCAAAAGGAAAACACAGCTGGTGAGCCGTGAGCAGCAGGGAAGAGAGACTGGAAAGATGGAGCCCAGTACTGAGCTGGTTCTGAGGGAGCAGTCCAGCTTCTTTTCAATTTTTATTAGTAAGCATTGTTTCATACATTATTAGCAATAATGATTATAACCTATTTCCTAGTTTTTCTTATAACAATTTTATCCATTAGACAACATTTTTCTCATTTTGTCTCTCTACATTGCATTCTGAAAGCTTTGCCATATACAGAACAACTGAAAGGATTGTACCCATGTAGCAGTCACTAATAGCCTACAATTAGCATCATGCTTGATTGTGAGTGCCTGGATCTCACTGATGCATTTCAAAATAAGACACAAGATATCATCACACATTAGGCACACTTCACTTCTAAACACTTAAGCACACATAACATTAACTAGAGAGCCACATGTGTTTAAGGCTTCTTTCACGTTTTGAAGGTATAATTTATGGTTAGCAAAATGCACAAATCTTAAGTGCCCTTTACAGTGCATGTGCCAAACCCCTATGAGATATAGGACATGACCAACAGCCCTGAAATTTTTCTTGGGCCCCCCTGCAGTCATCTCTGCCACATTCCCTCGAGGCTGCCACTGTTTCAATTTTCCTCACAACAGATTACTTTCGCCTATTTGCCAATTACTATGGCATATGAATGGAATCATAGCGTATACTATTTTGTGTTCATATTCTTTCATTGACTATGATGTTTTCGAGATTTATCTATGTTGCTGAACCTATGTGTGCTCCTTTCTATTCATTGTTGAGTAATTTTCCATTGTATGGAAACATTAGTTGTTTTATTAATCCATCAATTTATTACCTGAACTATTTCCAGCTTGCATTATTATAAATAAAGCTACTATATAAATATTCATGTACACATTTTGTTAAACATATGCTTTGATCTTTCTTTGTAAATACCAGGGAGGGGAATTGCCACGTCATAAGATAGTTGTATGTTTTATTAGAAATAACCAGAATGTTTTTCAGAGTGGTTGCGCAATTTATATTCCCACCAGAAATGTATGAGCATTCATTTTCTTTCTCATCCTCATTAACATTTGGGGTTGTCAGCCCTTATTTTTATCCATTCAAGTGGGTGTAAAGTGGTATCTCATTATGATTTCAATGATCATTTCCCTGATGACTAATCACATCAGTATGTTTTTATGTTCTCACTGGCCATTTCTGTACTTTTCTTTTTAATGTGTCTATTCAAGTAATTTTCCCAATTTTATGGAGTTGTTTGTCTTTTTACTTGTAGGTGTTCTTTTCAAACAAAATCAAATCTATTGAGGCATGTTTGACATACAGTAAATTGCACATGATTTGATAAAGTTTTTCCCTCCCTTACCACACACATACACACAATTATGAAGCTATTGGCACAACAAGCAAGGCGGTAAACATGATCATTACCATCAAAGTTTCTTCAGCCTCTGCCAATCTCTCTCTCCTCCTCCTCATGCCCAGGGAGCCACTCATCAGCTTTCTGTCGTTCCAGGGTAGTTTGCATTTTCTAGAATTTTATATAAGTAGAATAATATAATAATATAATAAGTGTTCTTTTGTGTTTGGTTCCTTTCACCCAACAAAGTGACGCAGAGACCATGTGCTACTCCAGCTTGAAGGTGTTTTCTCTGAAGTTCCGGTCCCACTGATGTGGTAGGATTGAAAGGTGGTTAGGCCCTGAGTCCCCCTCCCACAGGCCTAGGATTAAGGCCCTTAATCATTTGGCCAATTCACCTATGAACCAGTATCCCTCGCTTCTGGAGTGTGCACTGAGAAGGCCTTTATCAGACACCAAATGCCAGTGCCTCCGTAACTCATAAATCCCACTTCAGTTATTTACAAATTACCCAGGCTCAGGTATTTTCGCTAAGGCACTGGGCAATTTATAAAGAACACATGTCTGGAGCCCAAGATCGAGGGGATGGTAGACTCAGTGTCTGGTGAAGGCTTCTCTCTGCTTCACAGATGGTGCCTCCTTGCTGCATCTTACTGTGACTGACGGGCCCAAAGGGACAAGCATTGCATCTTCACATGGCAGAAAAGTGGAAGGGGAGAAAGGCCAGGGAGCTCTCTCAACCCTCTTTCGTGAGATCACAGTCTCACTCATGACGGTGATGCCCTTCCTTATCGTTTCCTCAAAGGCTGCCTCTCTTCTCCTTTTGTAGTTCTGGTGATGGAATCACCCAGCACCTTGCGCATGCTAGCCAAGCTCTCTGCCACTGAGCTACAGCCCAAGTTCTTTTTAATTTTATTTTAAGACAGGGTCTTGCTGAGTTACTCAGGCTGGCTTCAAACTTACAATCCTCCTGCCTCAGCTTTTCAAGTAGCTGGGATGACAGGGTCATATCACCATGCTCAGTGAAGTCCCTGCTTCTTTATATCATCACTTTTGGGGTCAAGTTCTAATGTGAATTTTGGAAGGACACATATATTGGAACAATAGCATACATTCACTTGTATCAATGGATACACAGTTCATTCCTTTTTATTGCTGAGTAGAGTTCCATTGCATAATGGACTTATCCATTCATCTGTTGATAGATATTTGGGTTGTTTTCAGTTTGGAGGTCATGGTAATCAGCTTTCTGTCACTGTGACAGAATACCTGAGAAAAGAAACTTAAATGAGGAAAGGTTTATTTCAACTAATGGTTTCAGTCCATAGACAACTGGCTCCATTGCTGTGGACCCAAGGCAAGGCAGAATATTACGATGGTTAGGCATTTGATAGAGGAGGTTGTTCACCTCATGTCAGCTAGGAAGGAGAAAGAGGAGAGAGGAGAGAGGAGAAGAGAGGAGAGGAGAGGAGAGAACAGAGAGGAGGAGGGTGAGTGGTGAGGGGCAAGGGGCAAGACACATCCTTCAAAGTGAGGCCTCCAGCATCCTACTTTCCTTAAAAAGGCCCCACCTCTTAATAGCCCATTCATCTGAGAACCTACCAATGGATCAGTGAAATAAATGCAATAATCTTATAAAATATTGAAAAGAATAATGAATAAAAAGAAAACAGTTGAATATTTAAAAATCCCAACAAATCTACTGATAGACAAATTCTCTCCCAGTTGTGTGTGTGTATAGAAGAAAAGACCCATATGAAGAGAGATGCAAATGAGATTGAGACATTAGTAGGATGAAAATGTTAGAATCATAAATGTCAGAAAAATACACTACTCCCTGGTAATCTTGAGAAGGTCTTGCTCTTTTCAGAGAATTGTAAAAAGGGTTGAAAACCAATTTATTTTTATACTAAAAGGGCAGAGCGACCCAGCTAATATATGGTTATAGACAAAAGCATGTACATTCATACATTTTATAGCTGGACACCTCCTACCATGTTATCATGAGTTTTCCTTTGTCCTTTAGTAATTGTTAAGAATGTCATTGTTCTAACCACCTGTATATCATAAGAATAGATCAAAATATATTTGTTGATTCAGTTATTGAACCCAGAGATTACTTCCC